ATTCTGCACGAATTTCTTCAAGATTGTTGTGCTTCCTAGTGTATTAAGACGTACACTCGTATTCAGAAAACATGTCGCAGTTGGACGATGTAAGCGCTCTAAATCACCGCTACAATAAAAGCGGTTACACCGTCCAACTGCGACATGATTTCTGCATACCAGTGTACTTGTACCTGTTGAGGAATTGTGTCAATTGTGTGATAGAGAAAAGGGACATCAATTCGAATAATTCAATGAATAAGTTACTGAATTATTTCGAAATTCAATTGTTTTAGTAAATATTGAAACAGCTGCTTATTCAACATTATGTATACTTCTTATTACTATTTATTTGTTGCTCTTAGGTACCTACGTTTCGTTTTGTGTTAGTTATTCAGTGTTGGAATTGTTTTTTTCTCTTCATGGTAAAATCAAAAGTTCAAGTGGAACTTTTTTATTTAAAAAATCTATATCACTATGAAAGTCCATGCTTCATTGATTTTGGAGCATCTTTGAAAATTTTATATTCATAACATTATACATAATTCGAAAGGAAAGAAAACAAGGAATTTGATGAGCGGATGAAATACAGGGTGTTCTACTGAAAAAATCATAAGTTTGATGCGTACTTATCTCCAAAATCATATACTTACCCCGAAAAAAAAAATGAGTGCGCCACTAGTTTCTGAGTGACATTCTCTATGAGATGAAATTTCAATTAGTCATCATCGCATTTTTCATCACTGAGGAACTTCGTTGATATGGAGATGGTCGACAAAGTGTGAAATGTACAGTGCTTTATACGTAACCAGTTAGGAAACGCGTCATTTTGTTTGACGACGGGATTATGCGAGACGAACGACCGTATTACGTGTAATTTTTTTTTCTAATTTTGCTAGAAATTTTCTCTCGAACAGATAATATAATGACCATCATTTCTACATGAATTCTACCGATTATGTACAAAAATTGAGTATAGACAAGTCGACTCCGCCCGTCACTTCGAAGTATCCGTCATAAAATAATATGGTCGCAAATTAGTGACCAAATTCACGAAAAAGACTCGTTCGATATTTCCATCAGTGGAAAATGGCTGATTCAAGTTCAGTTTTTCCAACTGATATTGAGAAAGCAGCTTGAAATACATTATTATTTTCGTCCAACCACATATTCAATGACGTAACTGGTGCTGTAGTAAATAATATTTCATCACCACTTAAACCAGTTATGTTATATTCCACTTTACACCACAGGTTATACGAAAAGTGAGAAGTTTCAATATTTCCGTAGTTTTGAAAAGTTCCACATCACATGTCAAATTAAATAAAAAAGAATTTCGAGCCAAACTCAATATTTCCAAGGGATATCCTGAAACAGGTTGATTTTTATTCTCAATTTCCACATTTATAATAGACAATTTCTCGAATGGAACATCCTATCAACTATTGAATTCTCGAAATCTTCATGGAAAGCTGAATTCAGGGTGTTCCATAGAAAAAAAAACACAAAGCTATTAGCCTACCCGAAAAAACGAATGACACTGTATATGAAACAACTACACAAAATAAAAGTTTGGGTGGTTTCAAACAACTTTTTCATTCAACATTCCTCAATATTCCTATAAAAACAACATAATGACCTCTTTATACTGAACTTTCCTTGAATAAAGTACCATTCCTATTTCACATTCTTGGGGGAATTTAAGACTAAGAAAATTGTTTGAAATGATGACTTAATAAAAACAAATTATCATAGGGATTTCCTTTCGTGCGCTTCAAGCGTTGAAAAATATGTTCCATCAATGACTAATCCAAGTGCTTCGTAAATTTTTTTATTTTATAAGGATGCTTGCCAAAAATTCGACGGATGACGTCACAATGTGTCCATGATGATTGCAGACAAAAAGGTTCCTGCATGATCCGCCATTTTGAAAACAAATGTCATTTGAAAGGTATTTTTTCGCTTTATCGACTCACGTAAAATTATTCATACAGAGTGCCATTTGAATTTCAGAAAAATTTTGGGGAAAATCCTCTGTACTTGTACAGTGTGCAACATATGGAAATTTTTTTGATGAATTTTACAACCAAAATACAGATAGTGCCAAAGGTTGGTGCATGTTCGGTAATCATTCAAGGTGCACTTAGAATCGTTGCAAGTCGAACAGCATACAGGGTAGGTCAAAAAATATAAAAAATGCTCAGGAGTAAAGTACCTTTATTTCAGAAAATTCAGCAAACTGTTATGAAAAAGAGTTCTTTACAATTGAAAGTTTTTCCTGAATACCAAAACATGGCCTCCTAAGACATATTTTAGTGGTTCGATTTGTTCCATTAATAACTTCCCAATTTGTATTTTTTTTTATATTCACCCTAAACACTTTCATAATTTGATCATAACAAAATCAGTTGATCATACTTTTGTTCAAATTAATGCACTTTTGTGCAATCAACTTGGATTTAATTTTTTCAGGGAATCACAAACTTGATGTTTTTTGCAACGATATACAGCTTAATTTTGAGATTTCGCAAACCATATTTTCAACAAGGTAAAACATCATTAGATAAGGAGTATGTCACCAAACTGCCTCAATATTTACTGTCAACCCTCATTTGTTCTGTTCCTTGGGTGTCCGTGATTTTTCAAAAGATATCATGGTTGTCGATCAATTTGTTCAGCTTTTTCATAAACATTTCAAATACAAAATGTTCACATTAAATGAAGGTTTTTGAATATGCATATTATCATTAATGATGTTTTACCTTGTTGAAAAAAGGGTTCGCAAAATTTCAAAGTTGAGCTGAATATCGTTGCAACAAACATGAAGTTTGTGATTTCCTAAAAAAATTGAAATCCAAGTTGAATGCAAAAATATGCTTGAATTTGAAAAAAAAATGGGATTTTATTAACGACAGGATTTGAAAGGATTTGAAGAATGTCTTAGGAAGCCATGTTCTGGTATTTAGGTATGAATTTTAATTGTGAACAACTTTTCTCAATAACATTTTGCTGACTTTTTTGAAATACGGGTACTTTACTCCTGAGCACTTTTTATATCTTTTTACCTACCCTGTATGCTGTTTGACTTGCAACTATTCTGAGTGCACCTGGAATGATGATCGAACATGCACCAACTCTTGGCACTATCTGTATTTTGGTTGTGCAATTCATTGAGAAGATTCCAATATGTTGCACACTTAAATGACCACACTGTATATTGAAATTATGCTCATATTATTATTTTGTAGAAGCAAGGAGGGAAAATCCCGAATAATCAAGTAAAATGTATGTAACACCTCCTCGATCAACCAACAGGCGGTATTTCGAGCCGTCATTGCTTGAGATTTGCATTTCATGGAAGATGAATGAAGTCATTATGATATCCGAAACGCAAATGAAATTGATCACATACAAAGTACCTCATTGATCACATACAAAGTACCCCATTTTGGTATATAAACGAATTGGGTCCAATCAACTTATTTTGACCTCTACTTCAAGTAGAGCAATTTTGGGACACCCTGTATATAATCAATAACTGAAGTCATGTGAGGAATTTAGGCACAATTGACAATAAGAAATCACTAGATTCGAAAACTCTTGGGGAGTAGGTTTCCCGAAACGAAATAGCGATATACGAATGCTACAAGTTCTTTATTTATATTATTTACTATTTAATTGGAGAATCAAATTGAAAGGTATACACTCTGATCCGAATCTCAGACCATTGGACTAGAGAAAAGTTTGAAAGTTTGATGTTTTTCTCCAATATTTATATGTTCTGAAATGGACATACAATGATTCCATTTTTGCCTCATAGAATCTCCGAGAATAGATTCACCTATTATACATAGAAAACATCGTTATATTCACATGTCTGATGTTTTGTTATATGATTTTTCAACAAAAAGAATGATATATACTTCTTTATCTAGATACAATCAAATTATCATGTCAATATCTTCCTGATTCGGATCAAACAGATTATCAAACACAAATACTACAATGTACGAACCTTTCTCAGCCCTCTAGAATTCTTCATAAAACAGTTTGAATCAGATTTGAGTAGGTATAGCAAGGAATTTTTATCGATTCAACTTGGCAACAATGCGCTACCGCTTGTTCCGAGTCTCCACGCGTCTCACACATTCTGGTATATTGACGGTCTGTCGATGTACGGTTCTGATGTTTTACGGGTCTGTCAATGTACGGTTCTGCCATTTTACGGTTCTGCTATTTCACGGGTCTTGATCCAAAAAATTCTGAAAATTTACGGGTTTGGTAGCTGCACGATTCTGCCATTGTACGAGTCTGTCATTTTACGATTCTGCTGTTTTACGGGTCTGTCGTTTTACGGTTCTGATGAATTATGGATCGGAAATTCCGGTAGTCCGATGGATTATGAGTCTGTCGATGTACGGTTCTTGCATTTTACGGATCTAGAGTATTGGCAGTCTGTGCTTTTACGAGTCTGTCATTGTACGGATCTTTCATTTTACGGGTATCAAAAATCGACAGTCTGTCTTTTTACGGGTATGAACTTTTCGCATTTTGCCATTTTCAGATTCTGTACATCACATTTTTGCCAGTATGCTGGTCGGGAATGTTCATTCTGATGAAATGGTGGTCTACAGAGTACGGGTCGCTGAATTACAGTCTGTGCTTTTACGGTTCTATGACTTTACGATTATATATTTTTATGATTCTGACGACATGAAGAGTATTTTATTTACTGGTTTGGCAAAGTACACTTCTGAATATATGGGAGTCTTTCGATATACTATTGTGATTTATGCATTCTGACATAATGCAGTCTGTCAAAGTACGGTTCGACAAATTACGGGTTGTACATATTGCAGTCGCTGAAATATGGTTCTGATGATTTGCTATTCTGATTTCTTACTATTCTAGTCAAATAAATTCCTACTAATCGACGGTCTGTGTCGATACGTTCTGATGATGTATATGGACCCCCTTATAAATACCTCACGGCTTACCCGAATCCTCACTATATCACGACGATGTTCAGTTTGTACTTCTTTCTGAGTGTGCTAGTGTCGGCCAAGGGGCAAATTCCCAGTCTGGGGTTTTGCCCCGAGTACTTCCCCATGGCAGATTTCGACATGAGCAGGTTCCTGGGGAAGTGGTACGAAGCTGAGAGGTACTTTCAATTTTCCGAACTAGCGTCCAGATGTGTTGTCACGGATTATGCCAGAGGACCCAGTGGCAAAATCTACGTCTCAAATGAAGTCACGAATAGATTGTGAGTAATCGATAGGGTAGATGGAGACATTTAAACTGTTCGCACAGTATTATTTGAATACAGTATCAATTTATTTTAGAACCGGCATAAAGCGAGTGATTGACGGAACAATTGAACAAACCGGCAAAATTGGCGAAGGACAATTGAACGTCAAATATTCTACAACCCCGCTATCTACAGAATCTACATTAATTGTTTTGGAGACAGACTACGATTCATTCGCTGTTGTTTGGAGTTGTAGCGGTTTTGGACCCTTACACGCAGGTGAAATATAAGTGCTCATTATTTTTCGCAATCATCTAGGAGTTTCTCAATATATTTCTTGACATTTCTTCAAATTCCTCATTATTTTACTTTTTTTCTAAGTTTTCTCAAGTTTTCTCAAGCTATCTCAAGATTTCTCAAGATTGCTCTAGATTTCTCAATAGTCCCCGGTATTTCCAGATGGTTCTTGAAATTCCTGAAAAACTCCCATTTTTTCCAATATTTCCCAAAATATCTCATCATTTTCCAATAGTCCTACGTTTCTTAATGTTTCGTGCGCCTCAATTCCAACATCGTTCAATATTCCCCAATTTTTCCAGAAACTTGTCAATTGTTTTCAAAATGTCCACATATTTTTCTTCACTAGTTTTGATACTATACTCCTTTGTAAAAAGTGTTTGACTGTTGACAAAAGAGAGAATACCGCTACCGCACCAGGGCCAATCGTCCAACAAGCTTAAGGGGTTGATATTTCCTAATTTTATATCTCGATGTTTCTCAACATGATTCTACAATGTTCCACAAGTTTTCCTAAGTTATCTTAAGATTTTTCATGATTTCTTGAAATTCCTGATTAACTTTCGAAATTTTCCAATACTTTTCAATATTTCTCGATATTTCTCAATATTTCTCAACAGTTCTCAATATGTCTAGAAATTACTTGATGTACAGGGTGTAACTTAAATGATGTCATTGATATCAGGTGGTGATTCCTTGTCATATATTATATGAAGAAAAGTTCATATAAAATTTTAGAATACTGTTATCACATAGGGGGTTCAGCACCCAAACATATTCTGATGCTCTCCCATACATGGAAGAGCCGTTCGCCTGGTGGGTGATCCCACACTCACTAATACTTTGACTTCATCAGAACACCGTAGAGAAGTCGGCGACCTTTCACTTTTATATATAGATACTTCCACGGGAAATGTTCCTCAGAAATCTCAGCAGAGTAATGGAATGATAGCATGCTATCATTCTATCATTAGCAATACCTCTCAAGACGAATTCGACAGGCTCAGTCAGCACATCCTATCGTTCTCAACCTTGAAATATGTCGAACAACACTTTACCAAAACTCGTTCGTTTATAGAACCGCAAAGCTTTGGAATTATTTGCCAATGGAAGTATTCCTAAGAACTCATAACCTCCAAAAGTTCCAGCACCTACCTCCTCTCCCTATCCTTCCTATGTACGCACGATGTTCTTCGAACATAATAGGAATGTCTTATCGTGCGCTCCAAGAGATAAAACGTGTGTCCTAACTTGCTCCGTTTCCGGGTAACGATGTGTCCAAAGTTCAATGACAAATCGTTTTTTCATAAATTACCCTAAATTCTAATTTCATACAAAAAAGCCCCTTTTTAACTGCTAACAACCTAGTTTCATGAAAATCGGCGTAAAGACTGTTGAGTTATTAATAAAAAACCTATTTTATGGTAAAACTTTGACACCTCATTATTTCGAAACGAAACAAGCTATTGTGAACTTTTTTTTATGAAATAGGACAAGGAATCACTGCTCGAATTAATGACAAAGTTTATGTTACACCCCGTATAATATTTTTTCTCAATGTTTCCTGCTGTTATTTTTCAAGATTTTTCAAAATTCCTCAAAGATCTCAACCTTTCATGTGTCTCAATCTCAATATTACTCATCATTCCCTAATATGATTCTTCAAAATCGAAATATTGCTTAATATTTCTCAATATTCTTCACTGTTATTTCTTAATATTTCCTAATATTTCTTGGCATTTTTGAGGATTCTATGATTTTTATCGATTCTTATCAATATTTTTCGATATAATTTCCCACGCGTTTTGATACTTTACTTCTTTATAGAAAGTGTTTGGCTGATGACGCGAGATAGAATACCACCAGGTCCAGTTCTCCAACAAGCTTACGGGGTTCTGGACAAATTCCGGATCAGCAGGAATTTCTTCATCAAAACCGACCAAGCAGGTTGTGCTATAGCCGCATCTGACATTAACGCAGCCAATGGTATAGCTTCCATTTCGACTGTAGCCGAAACCACTGGATCAGAGCAACGTAAGCGCCCTCTGATGGAGAACCATCGAGACAAAGTTGTCGAAAAAGATGCTAGTCAGATTTTGGTGGGGAAGAGTGGAACCATGCAGAAGGTCCAGGAGAAAAATGTGATTGAGAAAAAATTGGGTGGTGGAACTGAAGTTGATAAACCTTCAGATGTTTACGAAACAGGAGAACTTCAGGAGAATGTCGAAGAAGAGGCAATAATAAAGAAATTGACTTCTCCGAATTAGTGCTCCAACTAAATACTCATGACATTTATATTTATTAACTCCTCATTCATGTGTTCATTTCAGTTCATAATAAAGATAAACTTCTAGATTTACGACTATTTTTCCATGGAGTACCTACTTTTCGTTGAAAACTATGTAGATATGGCAGATTATTTTGAAACATTTCTTATAAACTCCAGAAGGAAATAGAGAAAACCAATAATGTGAGCAGAAAAAATTTACGAGTTTTTGAGTGTTTTTAATATACGATTGTTTATTCTCTTATTAGGATCATTTTTCTCATTCATAATTGATATTTTTCTAAACGGATAAAATATATTCCTGAAAAATTTTAAGATGCATAAAAAAATTCCGAACAATGTATGCATACATTTGCGAATGCTTACAGAAGATCTTGATTATGCACAAATTCGCAATGTTGTACGTTATCTAGAACCCTATGGAATTCCGTTTTCTGTTGGAGGGAGAAACATGCGAATTTATACTTTGAAGAAATGTCCCATATAATGTACGTTTACTTTTTGCGATAACAGATTTCATAAAAAAACTCGATTCAAATTACAACCTCAACAATCCTCTGAAGAACTTATAACCTTCAAAAGTAAAATGGAAAACAATACATTCCTTCTATCCCTATCCTCTCTAGGTACTCACAAAAACCAATGGGAATTCCATTTCGAACGGTCCAAGAATAAACAAAAACTTTGGAAACTTTTGCAGCAATTTGAGATTCTATGTTTTCAAAGTGTGTGCATCATAATGAATCCACCAAAGTTTGAAAACTTTTGGAATTAACCAATATTATATTCGAAATCGATCAGATAGTGTTACACCATTATGAGAGAGAGCACCGTTGCTATGCAGCCAGAAACACTTCCGGTTCCAAGGATTAAAAGTACTCCAATGTCTTGGAAATTATCACTTCAAAGGCGAATATGGAACATTTCAAATCGCACAATCAGACTGCTTACCTTTATATGCAACCGTTATAGTGACCTGTTACGGGAGAACATTAAACAAGATTCGCTTGGTAGTTTGGTCATTGTTCAGTCGGAAACGGCTCGGCTTGGTTGTTGGTGATTTCTGAAAAAGAAGAAAGTACTCATCATGATTTATGAATTTGTGTTTGTTTTGATGGTGTTACATTCCATAAAAGCGCAAGTACCGTTTTTCGGTCAGTGCCCAGATATAAAAACAATTCAGAACTTCGATGTTGAGAGGGTTAGTGAAAGGATTCTGTTGAAATCAAAACTTTTGTTTAACTAGGGTTCAATCATCAAAAATATTTAGATATGCCGAAGTGTTGAACAATATCAGATACTTTTGTTGTTAGCTGTTATTAGGAAATACCTATATATGGTATCTATGAAAGTTTTGAGATCAATACTATCTCAATCAATCCAATATCCGTAAATATTTTCTTGGATTAAAATTTTTAGTATCATGGAAAATGGTATGAAGCTGAAAGATACTTTGCTGTATTTGAATTTGGAGGGAAATGTGTCACAGCAGATTATGAAATGAGCAGCAACGGTGCCATAAACGTACTTAATCGTCAAATTAGTACTTTGTATGTACCGGATTCTTATTATTGGCATATAAAATATAATGTCTCAAATATTACAGCACTGGAATTCACAGCACCATTGAAGGAAAAGTTAATCAGATATCCAGATCTGATGAAGCTAAATTGACAGTCAATTTCCCTGCTCTTCCAGGTATGTGGATCACTATCTAATATATAAAATTCTCGTGTCACGGTGTTTGTTGCCAAACTCCTCCGAAACGGCTTGAACCATCCTTATGAACATTTTTGTGCATATTTAGTAGGTCTGAAAATCAGTCGTAAGATATTTTTTCGAGATGACGGATCCAATGTGGCGGGCGAGTTATTCAATTATGATCCAATTCTATTCAAATTTGGTATCTGGGGGTTTTTAGGGTCGGAGATTATGATTGTTTCGTCAAAATTAGAAAATTCAAGATGACAGATTCAATATGTCCGACGCCCTTTGTAATTACGATTTGATTCTATTCAAAATTGGTATCTGAGGGTTTTCAAAGACGGAGATCATGATTCCTTTGTCAAAATTAAAGAATTCAAGATGTCGGACGAGTTTTGTAATTATGATCCGATTCTATCAAAAATTGGTATCTGAAGGTTTTTGTGTTGGAGATTATGATTATTTTGTCAAAATTAGGAAATGTAAGATATCGGATCAAAATATGGCGGACGAGTTTTTCAGTTATGACCCGATTCTATTCAAAGTTAGTATCTGTGAGTCATGTATATTATTATGTACCTATCGAGAACAATTTTTTTTTATTCTTGCAATGATTTGAATCAAGGTGGAAAATCTTGTTTTCTTTTAGTTAACTTTGATGCTCCTTATTGGGTACTGGGAACGGATTATGATAATTACTCCGTAGTATGGTCTTGCAATGATTTTGGAATCCTCAGCACCAGTAGGTATCTCATCATATCTCTATTGAAAAATTGTAAATATTACTGGTTTTAGGAAATGCTTGGATACTGACTCGAGTTAAGAAGCCATCGGTAAAAACAATGGAAAAAGCGTACAAAGTGTTGGACAAACAAGGAATTTCCAGAGCTTATTTGATAAAAACAGATCAAAGCAATTGTCCGCCAAACTATTAACTACATCGATTTAACATTATTACTTAATTGAAAATAGAAACTATGTTTCAAGAACTGTGTCTGTATCTACTATTTTTCTTTAATATATTATTTTATTTATTTAAAATCGTATTCTCCATTTCAATAATGTTCATGCAGACAACAATAGAACTATTTTCTTCCTTTTATTATCCTCATGTTGGAGAAATCTTTGTAACGGATGTGAAAAAATAAGTACCTAGCCAACAGTGACGTAACTTTGCCTCAGTATTGAACCCCTGAAAGTATCTAAGTATCAGAAATTAAATTCGAATGTTCATGGCAACTTATGAAGATATAATTCTTCAATAAAATTAAACACGGCATACTCAATATTTTTCGACAACTATGATTTGTCATTAAATTCGTCGATTTTTCGCCTCAAGTACTGGAAACTTTCCCGCGAAATGCCGGTAGTAACGCCACTGGTACACAGTATCAACATCTTGTTAAAAGTCGGCTGCTCTCGGTCCTGAATATTAGCAGTCGCTATGCGTCGTCGAATTATTCAACAGCGTTGCCAGCGCTTGAATAGGACGAATAAGTACTGAGGAATTATGAAATACTATCGAAAGACGTTCCTAAAGGCATAAAGTTAAGGCATATTGAAGATACACCATTAACTTGTGCAATGGAAAACAAAAATAATGATTAGATTGAAATATCTAGGATTCTCTGGAAATGTGATTTTCAAAGCAAATTTTGAATTTGCATCATTGAGGTCAAGATAAGATGCAATATGTATTATAATTTTATTTTTCAAAAAATTCAGTGAGTTTTCTATAAAAAATTACTCCTAGAAAAATAAATATATTTCAACGTCATATTTTTTGTTGAATAAAAAAATTATTTTGTACCATGAAAAGTGGCAGCGTAGAGATTACAGATATGCATGATGTAAGAGATGTATAGTGTAATGATGCTCAAAATACTGTCCTCGAATAGCTTTTCACGAGAGACGATGAGAATTGATCAAAATAGTTTGAATGTTCAATTTTTTAAATAAAAATCAGCTTGGATCAGATAATGGTGAGCAACTGACCATATAACCCAATTTCTCCAAATTCCTCTAGCCAGATAGGCATTATTATTATTATAGAAATGTATGCTTGAACTTCTCCTGAGGTGTTTTCATAATAATTGTATTCATCTTCCCTGAAGAGATTGCAAAACTATATTAACATGATCATGGTCATCATGATGATTCACCCGTACCAATTAAGAGTTTTCGCAATTTTTTGATATTCAAATAAATATGATCAGATGGTTGAAAAATATTTCAATAGGTATATGTTAAGACAAATCAGAATTATGGCTGCAGAGGATGCTTACTCAATACTTTCTCACACTGTTTGTGGATCTATATTGTAGATTTTTGGAAATACATTCATGCATCATGTGGCAATGAAGTTTCGGAAAATTTATCGCATTTTCAACTGTATTTCGGACAGGACGCTTTATAGAACATACATCAATAGGAACTTTCTACCTCAAAATGAGGGATAGAATCTGAAAACGACTGCAAGAAAAAAAAAATCAAAGTAGGGGATTTACGGTTTTTTTATGAGATAGTGGCAACGCCGTAGGCCAGAGAGGCACATGGTGAGATGCGGTGCGGGCGTTGCTGTCTAAAGCTAAACACACAGAGCCAGCCGTAAAGGGCCGTAGCCCCAGACCGAGATAAACACAACAATAGAAATACCTACTACCAGTACCATGTAGTTCAGTGTGTTCAGTGCAGTCGAGATTGCCTGGAAAAACAGTCATTTGCATCATGAATATCTACCAGAATCTCCCAAGATGAATCTTTTCGCATTCAGTCATGTCATTCTACTCGTTACCATTCATCTGACGTCGGTCCGGGGCTTTCTGAATCTCTTCTTGAGTCCAGCGGAAGTTCAAAGACTTCTTGGTGAGTACTAACTGTTAATTGTTTTCAAATATTTATATTTAGAGTAAAAGGTGACATTGCGCATGAGCGAGATCGATTGTGATATGTAGGGTAGGAAGAAGTGATTAACCTCGCACAACCCTCTTCGCATGTACCTACCTACCCACAAATCCATCAGTGTATTACACTTTGGTGACCTAATGAAAATTCAATAAAACCTCATAAAACCAATGGATAAAACTCGAACTACCTATATATATATAATCTTATTTATCTTTCAAAAACTTAAATCACTCAATTTAAGATTAATAAAGAGTTCATTTAAGAATGTTATTTAAGATTTTGAATTTCAATGAGTGATTATTACAGGTTGAAAACTTGAATCGACTTCTCATTCACGAGTTCACGATGAGTCGAGCTTTTGTACAAAGAAGAATATAAATATCTAATGCAATATACTTTTATCCGTCAATTCTTTAACTGATCAATAAGACACCTATATATATATCCATATTGTTCTTCAATAATTTCAATAGATTCCTATATCCAGTATTTCTACAGAAAATCCCGACGCAAGACTCATTTTTCTATTTATATCTTATTTAATTTTAATTACCTATCTCCTAAATTAATGACGTGCAGTTCATTCACAGTATAGGTACTAATCCAAATGAATATAAATATTTACTCAGATCGAAATACCCCTAACTATAAATACTAAACAGGTACCAAACTGAAATGGTCTGAATCTGCTTCGAAATATGTAAATACAGATCTTGAGGGGCCATGTGGGCATACCTGTTTTCGATTATTTATTCCTCTTGACATCCAGAGAGGTCGTATAGGTACCTATATCACTGGAAAATCAGCATCACCCAATCGCAGAATTTAAATGAAGAAAGAGAAAGAAATATCAACAGAATCAATGCACGGCTATAGGTATTCACCCACATAATATCAATCGAATATTACCTATATGAATAACACAATTACAATTTAAGAGATAATTTTACTTAGGTGAGCAATAGCAAGATATATTATTAGAGATTGTTTGGCTTGAACCCAGAAAATTACCCCAAAAATACCATGTGATATACCGATTATAAGGATCTTTTTTGAATGACCTCTTCCGATAATTTTCATATTTCCACCCCCACGTAAAATCAAGATCTCTTATGATCATTTTATTTTGAAATTTCTACTGTGGTAATGTTTCTTCCGCCGTCAATGTCAAATCAAGACTCGTATTGTACATCAACCCTTGACGAAACTCTCCCCCTATACTCTGCACTCCCGAAAAAGCGACAATTCAATCAACCTCTCAGAGCACACGTCACTTCTGATAGACTTTGAATAACAAAGTAGGCTCCCCCATTTGTAACTAACGAAGGGTTCTCTCCCACTTTTATGAGAATAAAAACAAAATCTGTGATGAAACTTTGTATACAAGGTGTCCGAACACACTACACTGTTTTACCACTTACCAAACCGATTTTTTATTAGCCTCATCGATTGAAACTCAATCTTCTCCTGAAGATGCTAACATAGTTAGCGAAACACGTGTCCAGGCGTATAAAAAATCGGTATGGTAAGTGTTAAAAAATTGTAGCGTATTACAGTACTAAAAATTATGGTAACGGCTAGGGGCTACATAATCTTCGAAAACATTAAGGTGCCACTGGCAATCATCTTCAGACTTCTAGGTTAGATACATAATTCAATATTTAATTTGTTTAATAGCCTATAGCGGTAACACTGGTTATCTAATTATAAACAAGAAATGATTTAGATTGTCGGTATACTTTACTAGTAACCTGTATCTAATCTTATTTGCCTAAAGAATACTTAATGACTTTTTTAATCGTATACGCCTAAATACCTAATATCTTCTATAAATTATATAGAGGACAGTATTTCATTGGAAATCTTTTCATTTTCAGGTTTAGATGCTGAGGTATTTTATGTCAGGAATGGCTTGATTTACAATTCTGCTTTGCGATTTGTAATCCTCATTCCTTCCAACATCGACTTCATACAGTTCACTTGGGAAAGTTTAGTACATACACCTGTAAGTGAGTTATTGAAAACGTAGAATTTTATGATATTATATTAAGTATGACATGAAGCATAAGAGGCAGTCAGTCATGCATAACTTGGTAACAATCTCAATTATTAGATACTTACCAGCCAAACCGCTAAATCGAAATATTCGAGAAAACTCAATGATATGTGTAAACAAAAAGAACTACTTATTTCAATAGTCGAAGAAAAAATATAGCAGGTATTCTACTTGTGTAAGTGTGACAACATACATTCCTAAAGAACTGTACAAATTCATTTGTAGCCAAATTATCCATTCCTGAGGAATCCCCAGAAATAGGTGACTAATTTCAATTTACCACATTTATGAGGATGAACTGAATATACACGGAGATCCACGTTTGAGTAATGACAATTTTTTCAAATGGAACCTTCTATATATAGTATTAAATTTTTGGGAATCTCCATGGGAAGCTGAATTCAAAAATATATCGCATTGAGAGCATGGATACTTATAGTGCCTCTGTTGAATTCATTGCTCTGGTTGAAGCAGTGGATGAAATCGTAAACAAATTCAAGAATAATTTCGATTCGTGTAGGTAGGAGAAATGACGACATTAGTATTTTTTAATGGCAACCCCATTCAATCAGTACTGAATTTAACGCACGCACTGATGTATACAAAACCTGTCTGTGATATATTTGAATTCTGCTTTTAATTAGGATTCCAAGAATTGAACAATATATAAATTGTTGTGAATATTCAGTTTTCTTATATACCTAAATTTAGTGAATTGAAATTGAAAAAAATCGACTTGTTTCAGGAGATTCTTTAGAAAATAGATAGGTAGTTGGGCTAAAAATGAATTTATTCAGTACTTAACAAAAGTAGGTACTGTGTAATGGCTAGTTTACACTCGTTGCAGAATTTGACTTAGGGTAGAGTGGGGGAATACCGGACATGGGGGAAATACCGGCCATAGATTTTCTCGGTACTCTGATCTCTTGCGAACTACCGAACAAACCACACGCCACTGTCTGATCTCGTACGGCACTCATTTCGAGTTTCACAGTTGCAAGTGAACGTGTTTTTTTGTTATCGGGAATTTTCTCAAAAAACACTCCTCGTTATAAGGAACAAGTATTTTCAGAGGTATGTATCAATTAGTCAGTAAGTGCTGGAATAGTGAAAAAAATATTCATAGACTCAGGAGAGCTAGATATATCATGATATTGCTGTTCATCAACAATAACCTCACATATATTTTTGAAAAAAGAGTTTCACTTGAACAACGCATATGGGGGAATCCCGGCCATGCTCCTGCGGGTAATAGCAGCCTGGCCGGCATTACCCCTGAGGAAATCAAATTCAACATATTATTATTATTTTCAGATGCCGCGGAAATACGTGCGGAAAACTAAGAAAGCTCCTTGGACTACGGAAAGTTTGCAAGTTGCTATGAATGCTTTGAACGAGGTTGCAAGAAGATTTATTCCAAGAGCGACTCTACAAGATAGACAGAGAAACCACAATATTTCAAAACCGAAGCTTGGACGTTCAGTTTTTTTCTGTGAAAATCACGTGAGATCAATTGCTAAGAGTGCATCCCAAAAACTTTTCTGTTTCGAGCCAGGAGCTATTTCACAGTTAGCTGATCATGATCTATAAGGCACAGATCCGACCTGTCCTGGAATACTGTTCCCATATTTGGAGTGCAGCAACCAAACATACCCTGAAACTGTTGGATTCTGTCCAAAAAAGTTCAATTCGTCTCGTGGGTGATGCCTCTCTCACAAACTCACTCACTTCTTTGGAACACCGTAGAAAAGTTGGTGATCTGGCTCTATTTTATAGATATTTTCATGGACGATGCTCTTCTGAAATATAAACGATTGTTCCTCACTTGGCAGTCCCCGCGAGATTAACCCGTCGAGTTGGGGCTTATTCGTACCCCTTCGTGGTCACTTTGGAGACCTGCAGAACATCTCTCTCCAAAGACTCGTTCATTGAACGAACAGCGAGGTTCCGGAACACATTGCCAAGGGAGGTGTTTCCCGAGGCATATAACCTCCAGATATTCAAGAAAAACACCAATTCCTACCTTATTTCCGTTGGTTCTCACGATGTTCTCTGAACATCACAGGATATCCCTTTTCGTGGGAACCAGAACTTAAAAAAAAGGTTCAAGAAACGGAATAAGTGGAGCATAGCAGGGAGTTCGGGAAAAATCGTGAGCTCTGGTTGAGGTTTGTGATGTGCGCAGGATGGGCTCACAGCTTATAGTACTACCTGCAGAAAAGGAAGCAAGAATTTCATTTGCGATTTCTGCCAATGAAGTAATTTAATTTCTTCATCTGGGGTAAAACCAGCCTCTGGCCGTATTTACCCCCAAGGTGCGGGTAATGCCGGCCAAAACGACTTTTTGTTTTTATTGTTATAAATTTCATAATTTTATGTATTCATTGGAAACGAGAATATATTCTGTTCTTATGATATCTGAGCTTTAACTTAATGTATCTATCGTTAATAAAAACCAATAATCATCATCGCTACATCGAGAAATGCTTAAGGGGCCGGGATTCCCCCACATTACCCTATTCTTGAGAAAAACTCAGTTTATAAAGTTTCGTTGTTTTTCACAGGTATTATATACAATTGGAATAGAATCATCAAATCCAGTAGCTGTTCCACCTCCAAAACTGAACATTTCCAGCTCTGGATCCATACCGAATTCTCAACAAACATTTGCAATCTCATTACCATGTTCAGAAGGCATAGAAGCAGAAGTACACATAATCATACGCATGAACATCACGTTCGCAGAGAACACAACAACGTTGACTTTCATGCGAAACAAAATATGTCTAAAACCTGAAAAATCCACCACGTACATATCCATGGATTCGATGCCGCAGTTCTCCAACTCCGTCAACATATTTTACATAGCTGTTTGCTGCGCAGTACTGCTCATCATCATTTTGGCGTTCGTAGTTACTTTGCACTACTTCAAGGACAAGAAAATTCGCAGGTCCCACGAAAATGAGAGCGGCCCTACTACTACTACAACTACTTTCCTCGCAGCATTGCCAAGAAACAGCGTGAATGCCTCATACGGAAGCTTCAGAAGGATGCCTAGTTATTCCTTGATCGACGAACGGTCCAAAGACTTACAAGACAGAATTACTGATTTAACAGTACAAAGGTAAACACGAATTTTCGGGGATATCCTTCTAGGGTCCCTTGATGCAAACTGACGTATTTGTCATTTAACAGGGTACGGACAGATCATAGCTCCTTTCTCTTATGATCATCTAGTGACTTTGGTTTCGTGTATTGGCGTCCCTGACATGACATTGCTGTCACGTCACATTCATAGGCGTTAAAAGAGATCTTACAAAATTTTAATTTCAATCTTGATCTTAATACGACATTATTCAATTATGTTTTGGAAGAATGGTAAAATGTGCTACGTTAGGCTGTATTAATCAGTTGGATGGCAAACTTGAATTTGTCAGCTGTCCATCAAATGTTAATGAACTTAGAACATGGAAAGTGAAGTGACCGAATGGGGAAAATTGGTAAATACATCAGCAAAAGATTCGAGGTAAAACTAATACAAATCACATATTATTATTATACTTTCTCATTGTGCCTATAATCATCCACTCCACAAGTTTTTGAATGCATTTTAGTAGAAACCTTTTTGATTGGAACGGAGGATTAAAAGGAGAGGCATATGCCCTACCATTTAAAAAATTATACCTACATTCAGGAAATATTAATTGTTCATGAAAAACTGCAAAAATGATTCCCAACATGAATATATACAGCACACATGACATATGAGCACATTAGTTTGAATACCTACAAGAAATTTTTCACCATTTCTCAACCATAAGACTTAGTCTGATATCAAAATTCATTTATTGATAGGTATACTGCCTAAGAACAGTCCTATTTGGTAAGACATATTAAACTTTCAGAAAAATTTCCTCACTGCCTCACAAAGATTATGCTGGAGTTGAAAAATCAAAAACTCGAACACTATCATCATCATTTGGATATAATATGTAGAGTTGAGTGATGAATTACATGTGGAAATTACGTATGATACGTCAATGTCCTTAATATAACCTAAAAAACAACAAATGTCAGAAATCTTGTGTTTATATTGAATGAATGAAGATGGAACTATAGAACTGTTTCACAATCACTTTGGAGTGAGAGGAGACGAGGATCTGTCCGTACCCTGTTAAGATGACAAATACGCCAATTTACATCAAGGGACCCCAGTTTCTTCTAACCAATCAGCGCCAGCGCGGGATAGCGTCATCGAGAGTACCCATTTCAAATCAAGAACTTGAAGTCCTTGTTTGTTGTTGTTGTTGTTGTTGTGTTTGATATGCCCAACTCTGATCACTTATTACGATGCGATTATGTACATACATCAGATATATCTCAAAGCCAATGATATTAATATTTTGTCAAATTTAACCTTTTTATATCAGAAAATCCAGCAGTATCTTGAAGACATAATTAGTCTATCAGAACATTTTTGTGAATTCAAATTGAATAATTCGTATATAGAGAGATATTCAAGATTTGTGAAATATCACTAGACTTTCATTTTCCCCTTTATGAACATAACAGGTTAGATATAAACAAAATTTCAAACACTTAATTTGGGTAGGTATAATATATGTTAACACATATGAGGTGTTTTTGAAATGAATGCACATATTCAGCACATGAATATGATACAATCTAACTAATATTCCCAAGATATCAGATATATCTGTGTGAAAAATGAAATATCTAATACTTTAATAGTAAGAGAATGATTCCAAAACAATTTGGGTTAATTTTGAGTATTAAGAAGTGATAAAAAAATCCCCAACAATTTTCAATCAAATTGGGAGCATGGAAAATTTTTCAATATTTTCTGGAGGTTTGTCACCCTGTATAGCCAGATGTCACCATGTATTCCCATCTGCAGTCTCGCTGTAGTATAACCTTATGGATACCTTCGAAATTAAAGAAAATGCATTCTAATATGTGAAATTATTGCGAAAATATTCAATGTTCAGTTTCGTGTAATTTTTGCGGTTCAATTGATCAGCAGTATATCACAATAGAAGGCCCATCCCTTCACAGTCATATCAAAGCAATACCCGTCACATTAAGTCAAGTTCTGCTGATAATTAATTATTTCTACGAAACAATAACCCGTCTTAGAACATTCTATACTAACCTTGTCTCACACAATTCCCGCTACTTACAACCCAACAACAATAATAATCTATGGAAACTATTAAAAATACTCGATTTCTCTAAATAAGCTTCACTATTCTGATATGGAATCACGGTCATAGGTCGCTATTAATTTCTTTTTGTCATCGACTGATGGTACCAGGGTGGATAACTAGAAAGTGTTACACTTGTGATCTGGCAAATATTCAATTGGATAACATATTAACCTTTTTTTATTCAGATGTAGAGTTCGCCTGAGTAGCATCATCTTAGAGGGAACATTTGGAAGAATCTACCATGGCTCATACACGAATGAAGACGGTTCCGAAGAAACTGTGATTGTGAAAACCGTGACTGACCACGCGAGTCAAGTTCAAATTTCCTTATTGTTGCAAGAAGGGATGGCAATGTATTCTCTCAATCACAAAAATATACTGAGCATCCTTAGAGTATCCATAGAAGATCATACAGCTCCGTTTTTGCTCTATCCCTACAAAAACTTCACGAATTTGAAGATATTTTTGCAAAAGTGCAAAGTTTCCTCTGAGGGCGTTCATCATACTCTGACTACCCAAGAAGTTGTTGATATGGCTTTGCAGGTTATACAAGCTATGCAGTATTTGCACAAGAAGCATCTACTCCATAAAGATTTATCCACAAGGAATTGTGTGTAAGTATTAGGTTTACATAATTCTATAGGAATACTGATATTATATTCTATTACTCAACCCGGAGATGTAAAACGCATATCACGGACGAAATTTACCGGATTTTTTATTTGAGTTGAGAAAATAGGATTCTGTCTTGTGGATTTCATGCAGTCGGTGTTTTTCCATATTTCATATTCCGCAATAATATTCACCCATCAAGGAGTTCAGCACTAAAAAAACACGTTCTATTTCGAATGACCTAAAAGGTATCAAGGCCTAAGTCATTCGATATTAGGAACAACAAATCTGGATTTATTTGTTATTCACATGACTAACTTTATAGTTAGTTTTATAGTTTTCGAGATTGAGTGGATAGTCGATTTTTCGTTAAATACTTTAGGCCCAATTTATGCATCACTGTCTTCGTCATAGTCCGTGTGATAGTCCTAATAATCACTGTCATTGTCATAGTCATAATCATCATCATTGTCTTATTTTCAATATTTGTCCAGGAACTTTGATGTTTATGCATCACAGTCTTGAGCTTACTTGCGCATGTCATTTTATGAGCAATTTTCAAGGTTATATCCTCATGATTATGATCAGTACTATGACTATAATTGGGTTGCATGGCACCTATTGGAATGTACAGTCGTATTAAAGAAAAAGCGTACAAGTATATTGGAGGGAGAAATTAACGTCATCCTATTTACGTAAATCAGGCTATCAGGAATGAATGTTTACCAAATGTTGACAGCAGAGTAATCATAAGTTATCAAAAACACAAAACATTGGCTGAGCCAATTTCACACAACGAGAACTAGAATGCCGAAATCTTGTATGTTTAATACTTGTACGGTTTTTTATTGAATACGACTGTACACTTTGAACTTGATATGATCAAAAACATAGTCTGTGAATAAACTTACACTAGATAATGGTGCATAAATTGATCCCTAGCTAGGTATTTGGAGTTTCGTGATTTTAACCTGTTGATATTTCAACAGAGTGGATGATAAACTTAACGTCTTGGTAGCTGACAATGCCTTATCCAGAGATCTGTTCCCTTCTGACTACCACTGCCTAGGCGATAACGAGAATAGACCTGTCAAGTGGTTGGCGATCGAAAGTCTACTGCACAAGACTTTCTCTCCTAGTTCTGATGTTTGGTCTTTCGGAGTTTTACTCTGGGAACTGACGACACTTGCTCAACAGCCCTACATCGAAATCGATCCTTTCGAGATGGCTGCTTATTTGAAAGATGGATACAGGTTGGCTCAACCGATCAATTGCCCTGACGAATTGTAAGTTTTGGATATTCATGTTGATCGAATAGCTGATTGATTCATTTATATTCTTCTAGATTTGCTGTGATGGCTTACTGCTGGGCAATGAGTGCAGAAGAGAGACCGACATTTACGCAGTTGTATGTGTGCTTGCAAGAGTTTTATGCGCAACTGACCAGATATGTATGACAGAAAATATGAACTTCCTTTGACAGTGATAGCTTTAAGTGAGAACTACATTTCATTCAGATAGATGAATTGATATATATTTATTTTCATTTTGAAAAGAGAGTTTAAGCAAGAGATTAAGACTTATCAGACTTGTCCATTTTTTTCTTGATCAGAAATTATCAGTAGTGATTAATCTTGATTATTTTTGACAATTGCTAACGGGTAAAATTTGGGATTGTCTTCCAATGAGGTCACAATATTTTTCCACATTATAATTACAATCAGCAGATGGTTTGAAAGTTCATATATGTGAAGAAGAATTTATGTTTGATGTAGAGTGTTCGTGTACTTTTTCATTTGTTTCATAAACAAATATTTAATAGATGTTATTCCAGAGATGATGTGGAGGTTTGCCTTATAGGCAAGACATAAAACATTATTGCAAATTGCAAGATCGTCTCTGTATTTATGTTGATGTCGTATGCTGTTTTTTTTATCTTTATTTTCTAGCTTTTTATGTGTTCTTATATTTTTTCATAGTTCATGTATGAGTTTATGTGAATATTTAGTTTTCGTATTTGCAAAAAGATGGATGGACAGAACTGAAATAAAATATATTTAATACTCAACTTGTATGAATTCTCATTTGTCGATACCATATAAATGGAGTGTGAAAGATCTAGTCCAATATGGAAAGAATCTCCTTGATTCAGCATTTTTCTTTCAAAGAAATGATTATATTATGAACATTACCTCAGGATGCCATCAGCTGTGCTCATCTTGCAACACCTCGAATATCTGTCGTTCTGTCATTCTATTATCAGTATTTTTGATATCTAACTTTCCTGTGGATATCTTATATATATAGGTCTATCATTGTCTTACTACATATACCTAGTATATTTTATCATTACCACTCATAAATATAAGAACCTACAAGTATCAGCCTGTAGATGACCACAGAATTCAAAGAAGTGAACTCTTTAGTAGATATAGTTAGATGGAAGTTTTTCAAAATATACACTTTGCGATCATAACAATAGATGGCGCTAAAGAGTAGGGTCCTAGTTTCTAGTTATGAGTAGGTAAAATAAGATATTTTCGTCGAAAATTGAAGGTAACTGACTGTTTTATCAATATTCATGGTAGATGTCTGTAATTATAGGTAAATGGTTTTTCAACGGGAGCAGATGACAGATTATTTTTCAGAATTCGCAAAGATTCTCAGTAATTGAAACAATTATCCATTATTAATCGGTATTCCTCCACAATTCTCTGATGCAACACCTCTAGTGTCTCATACTGCGTGACGTACACTCGCACGTTTCTGAATGGATTCACAGGAAAAAGGCTAGAGGGGTTAAATCAGGTGATCTTGGTGGCCATACGACGAGATATTCTTACCAATCCAATGCGAATAACTGTGCCAAATCTCGTTTAATTGTGGTTCCATTTGAAATTTCAAAGGTAGATGCATAAGGGGGTTAGGGGGGAATTTCAAGATGATTTTACTGCCAAAAATGATGCTCTCAAAATTCTTCCAGTCAATCGGTTTTTCGTTATAAGGCTAAATTATCGTTGAAGGACCCGGCATTTCTGGATATAAAACAATCATTGGATTCGTTTCCATCTGATATTTTTGGTTAAACGACTTCATCATTTTTATAAGAAAGAAAAAACTGGGCCACCCAGGCCGTTACAAGCCTATATATCACTTCGATCTTTCTTCTCATATATCCATATTTTTTGGACTAGAGTTTATACACAGCGATTTCTCATATCGATGGCACATCACCTATACTGAATGAAATATCCGTTTTTCATATTACGCTCAATTTATATGTCAAATCGCATCAAATTTCGGCAGAGCTAGTGCGTTGAAAATTGGAAATCTGATGGCCATATATGTCAGGTACACATTGGAAGAGATCAGCAGGAAACATAAATAATGAATAAATCCTTCGTCACAATATGGAACATTGAATAGCATTTCGGATGATAAAATTATATATATATTGTATGCATGAGGGGTGAATATACTGTGAACTAAAAGATCTATTGCACCCCCTTCTTTTGCTATACCTGATGAGTTTGCTCTCCATAGCTATAGTAATTTCTCTAGTCCTTTATCCCGGATATGAAGTGGTTTCAGGTAGGGTATCTCCTTCTCTATTATGAGTGCTCCTAGGTTTCTTGCAGACATGCAATGCGACACCAAATATGTTTTGCTTAGGCTGAATAGGAGGAAAAACCAAGGTAACTATACTATCAACTTGATTTTTTTTTTCATGTAGTCGACAATGGGCTGACATATGCGTTCGATCTTTTGTGGTTTTAAGACCTTGAAGATTCTCCAAGATGTCTAATATCCTGTGTTTCGCATCTTCTTTTCTAATTTCTTCTGTTACAGTACTTCTACTTATCCCAAAGAAATGATAATGATAATAATCTGTATTCGTATTAGCATACAGCAGCCATACGTAGGACAAGCGAGTTTATTTGAAATTATCATTTACAAATATGATAATATGAATAACATTTACACATGAGGTAAAAATAATACAGGCTGACAATTTGAGTAAATAAAGAACACCAATTGACAATTTGGGGTTTACGCATCACCTATACCAATTTCATACACTATACCGTTATAGCAAGCTAGATTCATATAGTACTCATTCAGATTATAATAAACCCCCCTTGTTGAGTCAATATGCGCTTTATTGACGATTTGAACTTGGTTAGATTGATTTCTCTTATATTGAGGTAAATGATTGTAGAGAAAGGTTCTGGCCACACAAAGACTGATTGAGATCGTTTCCTGTAGCGGGTTTGTCAGCCACGTCACTTCCTTCTACTCCGGAACCCGGAGAAAGGTGATTATATTTCTGATACGTTGGCTAGGTCTTTTTGTTCCGGTATTCCCAAACCGATTTAGAGCTGAATAACCATAAAGCTTATAGCGCTTCAATGGCTGCTGAACTAACGGACATAATAATATCTCGCCTTTCATAACTTTTTTCGAGATTGAACTGTACAGGGATATTCCAAATTTGTCACTTTTGAAGGTAAAATCCTGTTCTCCAACTAGATAGAAGAAAACTGATGTCGGTGCCTGAGGTTAGATTCTCATGTAAAACTCTTCGAAAATTGGCATTCTTGAAAAGTGGCTGCAAATATTTTTTTTGCCAAAAATTGTATGTTCTCATGAAAATAACTGCAAAGCATTGAGTTTGTGATAAGAATCATTCCTGAGGCACTGAAATCGGCCTTCCTTTATCTTGTTCAAGAATATAACTTGTTCTTCTTGAACGAAAAGTTCAATTTCGAAAATAGATATATGGTGACTGATTTCAGTGCCTGAGGATCAATTTCCATGAAAAACGCAATGCTTTGGAAATGTTTTCATGGAAACGAAGAATTTTTGACAAAAAAAATGAGTTTCAGCCACTTTTCGAAACTTCATAGTGTCATCTGAATTGATCAACAGGCACCAACATCAGTTTTGTTCTATCTGGTACGGGAATAGGACTTTCCCATTAAAAGTGTTCAATTTGGCCCACCCTGTACACATGTCTCCTATAGCCTGAACTTTCGTCTCTAATATGCTCTCGAAATACTTGGTACGAGGCCCATGTACTCTTATTCCAGTTCCATCTTTGAGTTTAGAGCCATCTGTGTACTACTTTATGGCTCTATTATCGAGCTCCATACACATATGGATTTACTAGCTGTTTCATTATTTCTTGCAGCTCAACCTTGTATGGTGAATTGTTTCACAAAGCTGTACTTTTTCTTCATCTCATCCTGAGGGAAATCCTGGATTTTCTGGTTGAGTGGGAGGTTGACCTGCCTTTGATCACTCCCAACTGAAAATGTAGATATAGATACACCTGTCACATATTTTTCCTATTCGAAACTCATGATTCCCCTATTTTGTTCCACTTGATCCACTGTACCTTCCTAATAAATCAAATCAAATGAGCTTCATTATCCAAGATGTAGAGTACACGTTTGTATATGAAGATTGGAAATAGATTGAGCGAATTGCTCTTGTTTTTTATATTCGCACTTTTTTCGATCCAACTGTATTTCATGAATTAACAAAGCTCAGCATTGAAGAAAACTTCAAATACAGCTGTACTCGGATTAGTTAGCATCAATTTCTTGAAGTATATATTCACATCATAGTTTTACCCTCTTCCAGACAGGTGATCCGTTATCCAATCTGTCTGAGTGGCTGCGAGGTACCTATTTTATAGCTTTAATTTGATGGTTCACTTCGATTTCAGACAAATAAACTTGGCAGTGACACTGATTTGAATGTTTCGAGCCATTCTATTAAGGAATAGGTTCGAAAACACGTCGAAAATGAAACAGGAACTTCCAGTTTTAATTAATAATGTCGGTATCGAATTGTTTTGACGATGATTCAAATTCTCGACCAGTTTCATATCACTACAGGCGAAATTGAAAAACTCCTAATGGTTGCAATTATTTTCAAAGAGAACACTTATTTATTTGTGACCTTGGCAATAAGATGAAGGAGACCAACATCAATATTATAATTCATCTGTTTGGAAATAGGTAATTGTTCGAACAGGATTTGTCACGCCAGGTATCTTCACGCAAATTGACACTACAGTCTCAGGATTAGGAGAGAAAACAAGTGTACATGATGTTCCATCAAGTGCTACCATTTTTAGGATTCTTATTGTTCACTATAACAGACAGTAAGTATAACTTCATATTTGAATTAGGTACTTTGCATGAATGACGGAACATTTTGAGTCTATGTAAAGCCACAGTACAAAATAAAGGGTAGTCACATGGAATGTCCCTATACTTCGAATTTGCATCGTTATTCCAGTAATTCCGTGATGTGTTTTTCATTGTGACAAAATCGATTTCATGCATGTGATAATATGACAGAGAAGTTTCCATTTTCAATCATATATTTTTTAATACCAAATTCCATAAACTGGAACGTCCATATTCCAGTGCTTTTGTGTCGATTCATCTAACCACAGAATTGATCAAAAACAAATGCAATATGAATTTGATTTTCCCGGAATGAAGTGGAAGTTATTTGTCCATTGGGAAACTCGGGAATTACTTTATATTCCGTTCATTAACTCATTTTCATTCCGTTAGCGTGAATATATTCTGATAGAGGGTGATTTTGAAATAAGTAGGAACATATATATTCAATATTGAACACATCGAGTTAACGAATATTCTCAAGATGATATAAGTTTTTTATTCTGTACAGAGATGAAGCTAAAAATTACCCACAATGTGAATTCCACAACGCTTTGTGGGAATATATTTGTTTCAATCGTTGACCAAATTCGACATCAGGTACAACAAGAAATTTAAACAGTTCGTTGCCTGAGTAGTTTCACCACGGGATTATTATACAGTATGATGCAAATGTATGGAATAAATTCATTATTTCAGAAATGGGCGACATTTTAAAAAATTCCAAAAACATGTGAGGTTTCATTTTTGAAGCCTCATCTCATGATATCCATATGAGAGATGTTACGTCACCGGTGTTGGAGTAATGACGTAATGAACGATTTTTTCAAATGAAAACAGGGGTCATGTGACACCTCGTTTGAAAGGTCTACTGATCGTCTATTCAACAGTCAACATTTTGCATAAGAAAATTGAAATTAAAATGGCTTATCATTTGATTAACTGAATCTGGCAGAGGTCTGCTACTGAGAATTGAACAACGAAGGGTCGTCTATTTAAAAAAATAAATCAATAAATAAAGTTCTGAATTCTAGTTTTTGGATTTTTTCGGAAGTCGTCTTGTTTTGAAATGAATTTATTCCATACATTTGCATCATACTGTATATAGGTTCGACCTTCTGCAAGCCCTTCTGATTAAAAAAAAATTTGAAAGTTTTCATCACGATTATTCAACAGAATTGTCCATATACCTGAAGTTAATTCAATCACAGAGAGAGGTGAATTATTACTGGATTTGAATTGCTTAACGAGCCTAAAATAATCGTATACCTATTGTATCAATATATAATGATATAATAATTTCCCCTCATCTGTCTCGTTTTCATTTTTCGTTTGGTCATGCAATATAAATTTGTATTTAAAAACTTTCCAATCCCCTGCACATGTTACATGGATCCATGTATGAATGTATAATTCGAAGACCTGATGACTATACTAACCAAACCAATCGATACACCAATACATATATAATCAAAATTAATAATGGACCAATAATATTACATCGTTTCTAGCCCTCCTGTTCTGCGGTATCCAATCATTGGTTTCTCCCCAAACCGAACAATCACATCAACCGTCCATGACCCCATCTGATTTTCCAGGTAACTCCATCGGCATCGATGACAAACTGGACTTTGGTACTTCAGGAAGCCATCCATCTTTCAGGAATGCTGAAGACTCAGTACACAGAAGTCCCCATCTTCCGGTGAGTTACAGGAGCACTGTTACCAAAATAGGCATCAAAGACAACTTAGACGATGCTGGAGTAGTGTGTGGTATCGGAGGCTGTAACAGAACTAGCTCCGAGGATACGTTGAAGACGGACGTTGTAGTACGCATCGAAACCAAGATTGATTTGAATCAGAACACAACCGGGAGAGTGGATGACACACCTGATGTCCCAGTTGTAGTTGGATTCAACTCTGAACCGGATGAAACCAATGATGAAAAGCCTAGGCAAAACCAGCAGCCTATTTACCCAGGATACAGCTCTAGTTCCGTAGGGTACGGTTCAGGTTCGCGAGTATATGGCTCAGGCTCCCCATTATATGGCTTAGGCTCACCAGGATACGCCTCCAAAGGTTCCTCAGGCTCGTCTCTTATACCTAGTATGTCAATCTACGGACAAGTATATTCTTCTAACGACCAGTTATTCTACCCATCCACAAACAATTATGGTGACAGTGGCAAATCACAGAATAGAAGAATAGATTACGGAACATCACCTGACTTCAACTCTCCAGAAAGGAACGATGGGGTCAATATAAAATTCAAAACTCTACCTCCAGTTGCAATTGATATAGCGGACAATACACAAAATAACTTCCTCGAAGGTATGGAGCTGACTGTTCCATACTTCGATCCATCCCACCACACCCATCATTTTGGGGAAATTCCTCCACCACACACGTGGTATCCTAAGAAGACCAACAGTTTCAACCCTGTAGAATTCAAAACCATGAGACCATCAGTGTGGATGCCTTCTGTTTGGTACAAAACAGTTGCGCCACACAGACATACCAACACCCCGGTGGGCCAAGAAGTCAAATGTGTTTGTCAGAATAATGGACAGGAACAACCTGGGCTCAGGTGGTATCCCAATGAGAATCGGAGGGGTTCTGAAGGGAATGTTGGACAGTTCGGAAATAGGGGAGACCCTGGATCGCAGATCAATGATAAATTGGCCCCACTAAATTAAAAATATCAAACACAACATCCTTTTGTGTTTTATACCCAATGGGCACGTTGATTCAATGTTGAATGGGTGAAAAATATGTTACTCGTTGAATTTTGAATGTTGTCAATCTAGTTATGATAAAAAACGTTACTTGAAATTCGATTTAATAACATACAGTGTGGAAAACTATGATGAAATAAAATCCAGTATTTGGACACGTCGATTTTCATTTTCAACGCCTTGAAAATTTTGGAATGGCACAAAGGCTCAAGCTACCCTCTGTTGGAAAGATATTTTTAATCCCTATACAACGGTCCAAATTATTGGTAATGGTATAGGTACTGAGTCATTGTAGTACCTACCATTACCAATGATTTGAACAAAAATTTCAATAAATTTTGAATCAATCGGACGATTCTTGTGGATGTGGAATATATAAAATACTATTCTACGGATTTTATTCCATCATAGGTCTCCACCTTGTATATTCAACGATTCAAGTAGTTTATGAAATATTTTCCCAACATTGGGCAAGTGTTCATCTTGAAATATACGTATTGAATCATCCATATGAAAGTCCCACTACATTGGAGTCATATTTTTGATTTCAAAATATTTGAATCAGAGAGAAGAAATATAAATTATCAAGTTCTTCATTGATTTTGACAAACATTTCAGATCCATAAAGTGAAATGATGATCTGCTTACTCAAATTTGTCACTAAATGAAATACAATGAAATAAAAATATACATCATACGTATTGACTATCATTTCATGACTCTCAAAACCTCAAGTATACAAGGTGTTATTTTTGGTGATTCTAAGACGAAACTTTCATATGACCATGCATACATGCTCTGAAAATGCATAATTTTCAAGATACACAGTGTCAGTGTTTTCTTCCATGTTTCATCAAATCGATGCATATCATCATCTAATTTCTAAATCCTTTTCATGCAAAAGGTCACCTTTCCGAAAAACAACATCTCACATTTTTTGTAATGTACCAAGTCTGTAAACAGAAGAGAAGTAGTGTTCACTCCAAAATATGTCAAATTGCCTTGTGTATTGAATGTTTTGAATCATACAGATACTATTATTTCAGACCTTCACATACTGGTATGATGTTCATACCAGTAAGCATCACAAGTCTTAGTGAGTCGTGACGGTCCGCTGGTAAAACGGTTGTTTTTTCTAAACATTCGAACATTGAAAAAAATCAAAATGGATCCACAATCAATATTTCATATAAAGGGTCAATACCTTAATGAAAACAACATATATCTTGGGCGTTAAAGGGTTGAAATACTTCGAAATTAGTCAGAGACAAAATAATTGAATTGGTGCAAAATAATTCAGTGCGAATCATGAACAAATATTTTATTGAAACTGAAGGAACTCGGGTGAATTCACACTTCACTAGAGAATATCATTTTCTTCCTAGAAATTTCGATAGCTGGTAGGTGGTAGGTGACCTACCAGTTGGATCGGGTAGAGTAAGAAACAAATGTGGTTGAGTATACTGTATATTCATTGCACATAGTTCCGAATCAAACAACGTCTATTTACGGATTCTTAGCAGTGTAGGTGGTGACTTTACCATTATCATTCACAGTTGTTGTAGCTTGTTTGACTGTCTTTGGTTGCCCATCAACATTTGAAGTGAAGCTTGAACTGGATGTAAAAACACTACGAAAACCATCTGGCTGACCAGATCCACCAAACCGAGTATTCACATTGGGAGCATTCTGGAAAAAATATGTGACATAAAGTGAGAATTGGCTCAGATGAGTAAGACATCAATTCCACTCTCAAACATAATATACGTACAATTTCTCGGTTGTTATTGAATATAGAACCTTGCAGTTTTAACATCCCTAACCTACTTTTTTGTGAAACTGAAGCTGGTCTCATCAGATTTTGCATAACTGTTTCCGTTTATAGGATATAGGACGATTTTGAAAATTTATACTTTTTGAACTCCTTCTATATCTACGAAATTATTAGATATGATGTCACGCTAACAACTACGTCTAACAGAAAATTTTGAGCACAATCCAGTGGCGTACTCAACTTTTTTCTTCGGGTTATCTAAATATGATTTAATGGAACACCCTCTGTATTTTAATATATGGTTAAATTCCTTTTTCTTTTTCATTTAAAATTATTTATAATACTATATACAAAGGATTTCATGAAAACTGCTACAAAAACACTAAAACATCAAATCATGCTGAATTTATGCTAGTGGTCTAAAATGTTTTCAAGTTTTACTTGAAGGATTATTATGTGTGATTCATTATTATACCTTATATTGTTCAGGTACTCCTATTATTTCCTATATCTATTATATAAATTATAGGTCATTCCAAAAGGAAAAAATAACGAATTCAACGAGATAATGAAATGAATAGTGTTTCTTTGATGAATATATAAATTTGTGTCGTATCTACAAAACCATACCTAGAAATAAAAATTCTCTGCAGATATATAAGGGGTCCAAAAATATGAATTTTCAAAATTGCCCTGTATCTCTTGAACGGAAACAGTTATGAAAAATCTGACTAGGCTATCTTGAGTTTCACAAAAAAGTAGGATAGGAACGTGAACACCGCAGGGCACCATCTTCAATAACAACCGAGAAACCTAGCACTCTCAACCAAAATAGGATTGTTTGGTCAAGTTTCAGAAATGTTCACAAAGGAAAGTTGTTTCAATTTCAATTTTACAAATGTCTCGAATTTTAACTTTCTATTGCTTTTAGGTTTTTGATATTTTTTGAAATTTCTACGGAATTTCTATAATATTCACTTGGTCAAAACTGTCCTGAACTTTGGTGAGGTTAGGTTAGGTTAGATACGTGAAGTAGTTTAATAATATTCTGAATGACTTTCGAATAACAGGAATTTGAAGTGGAATTATCATTTTCTAAGGAAAATCCTGATTTTATCGACAATATAAGTAATTGAAAGTTAGCATGATGAAGCTAATTCCGTAGGAATTGAAAAAAAATATCAAACTCTAAAAGTTACAATAGAAAATTCAAATTCGACACACATGTGTAAAATCGGGTTGGAAATAACTTTTATCTGTAAACGTTTTTGAAATTTGAACAAATTGGCCTATTTTCAGCGATTAACTTGAAAAAATTTAACTTTTGACATGTAAGGAAAGTCAGGTGACCCCGACCTGATAGAGAACTCAACGTGATGTGCCAACTTTTCGATAACTTCCTGCAACTAGTTGCAATAGTGTCTTTCTTTTATTATCTCATATATGCCTGATGTCATCCATCGAGCGATGAGTAGACGAAAAACTTTCTGTTATCTATATACTCACTGGATTTTCTGGAAAAACAGACGCTGTCTGCTGCACACCATCTGGGCCGATAACCCCACTAGCGAACGCCCCCTCGCCCCCCGGACCTGGACCGAAACCACCCCCAGCTGCGCCAGGAAACGCGAAACCTCCTCCGTCCGGTCCCCCGAAGCTGACCCCGAACGCACCTCCATTACCTACTCCATAGGCACCTCCATTACCCCCTCCATAGGCAGCTCCACCTCCTCCTCCACCTCCATAAGCGCCAGAAGGGAATCCCCCCCTGGTGATCACTCCTCCAGTAGGCTGGCCCTGAGCAGCGGCTTGTGCTTGAGCTTGCAAGCTTCAGGAGAAAAACTTTGGACGTGAGTCATTTGTGGAATTTGGATTGATACACGGAGAAAAGAGAATGTGTGAATCAACAAACATTTCGTTAATTCAATAAAATTTTAATGGCATAATATATCCACGACACAATACAGGGTGTTATTTAAGTACGTGGCCAAACTTGAAGGGGTGATTCTTTGAGTGATTCTAAGACGAAAAGTTCATATAAACATAGGTCTGGTAATGCTTCGTTTTCAAGATACAGGGTGTCAAAATTTTTAAAAGAAATCGTTTTTTTCGTAAATATCTTAATAACCATTCAACTGATTTCATTGAAATTTGGCAGTGTTATTCAAGGTCGTAAAGGGCTAATTTAACCCTAACTATATCAAAATTATCATGTCCAGTGGCGTCCCGGAAGGCACTGTAACCAATATTTTTGACAGAAAAAATGTGCGCCACTGATTTTTTTGCAATTTTTGTATTTGTTTCACATTGAGCAACTAAATTACAACTTTTTCATATCTAGAATTTTTTTCGTATCTTGCTTTGTTTTTGAGAAAAAACATAAAAATCACTTCATTGCACATCCCTGTGACAACACAATAAAACATTTCAACTACCAAAGCATCGAAAACTGGGGTCTTACTAATATTTTTGATATAGTTAAGGTTGAATTAGCCCTTTACGACCTTGAATAACACTGCCAAATTTCAATAAAATCGGTTGAAGGGTTATTAAGATATTTACGAAAAACACGATTTCTTTTAAAAATTTTGACACCCTGTATCTTGAAAACGAAGCGTTACCGGACCTATGTTTATATGAACTTTTCGTCTTAGAATCACCCAAAGAATCACCCCTTCAAGTTTGGCCACGTACTTAAATAACACCCTGTATTTTGTAACCGCAACAATTATTTTGTTAATTTTCCATATGAAATTCATTTATTGTGCCTTTTTATTATTGATTCAAATCAGCAAAAATTTGTTGAATGAACAAAGACTATGTTTTGTTCCCATAATACGATATTTGCTCTAATGAAACACATTTTGTTGATTGGATGATCATGTAATTTCATTCAAGTGACGAAAATTTCAGTTGTAAGAAAGTGAATATACAATGTGTCTCATTTCTAATGGAAACACCCCTGTATCTAACGTAATTGTTGGATTAGGATGCTGACAATTGCAGGAGAGAGAGATATATCAAAAATACACTACATGACTGTGTGAGGTCATCTTCGGTGATAAACACTACTTGCCACCAGCCATGCAACCACCCACATTTCCGGAAAATGATATCAGGAAACAAGATAGGTTGAAAATCACTCCGGATTCGAAATCAAGACTCCCAATTCACTACCTATTCATATTTTTCCTGGCAAAGCACCCCCGTATCTCACTTAATAATTGAGTTATGATTCGGAAATGTTGCAGGAGAAAAGAAGAGTCGAGAGATACAGTCAACGACCAACTGAGATTATCGTCAGTGATCTACACTGGTCGCCAGCAGCTATGAAACTATACCCGCATGGCTGCTGGCGAGCAGTGTATAACACTGATGTTAATTTTAGTTAGTCATTGACTGTATCTTTGGACTCTTTCTTCCTCGTGCAAATTTCAGAATCCTACGTCAATAATTACGTAAGATTCAGGGGTGCTTCCATGAAAATTGAGACAAAATTTTATTTTCCAGGTAAAATGTGAATAGTTGATAAATTGAACGTCCTTATTTCGAATCCGAAATGATTTTCAACCTATCTTGCCTCCTGATATCATTTTCTGGAATTGTGGCTGTTGGCAAGCAGTGTATATCACTGAAATTGACACTACTTGATCAAAGAGAGTATTTATATGTTGAAATAACTAATATATTCTGAATATAAAGAAATATTTTTTCCATTCGATGACAAATTAAATTCGATCAACAGAACTATTTTTGGCTTTTTCGTAGTTGATGAATACATATACATGAATGTTCTATAGGTATACGTACATCCCAATCGATTCAAGCGTATGGAAAATGGAAAGAAACGTCATCTAGAGGCGAAAATGCAACTAGATAGAACAAAATATAATGTCATAATAAATTCAATTTCAAAATAGAAATAAAGCATATGATTTATTGAACAATGAAATGATTGTTGAAACAACAAAATTTATGATGTAGTCCTTCGTTAAATCTTCTTCACAAATAATATGATTTCGTCAAATAAACAGAATTCATATGATTGATTCAACAAATGATAGTTGAATAAACAAAATATGTTTCATATCAACAATACATGTGTTTGAATTAAATGAAACTTTGTTCAAGTAAGCAAATATGTCAATCAAAATATTTTGTCTTTTTGAAAAAGACGAAAGATATAGAGGAAAACAATAGAAAGTTTCTTATTACCACATTACAAAAAACAGCATTGAGAAATTTTCCGTACGATGTTTCGTTTCGGACACACTGTATATTCTGCTGATTTAGCAAAATTGTTCTCGATTTAACAAACGAAATTGACCAAGATAACTTTGTTGCAACAAAACTTTTTTCCGTGTAATGGGTACGTACCTGTTGCCAAATGTTATGGAAGAAGAAGCTTGTGCGTTCCCATTAGGACTAGAAGATGCGTAAGAATGGGAAAATAGACCACCACCTCTAGACAGAAAGCGTTAAACTAAAGACAGATATTGAATGGATGTTGCTTAAGTAACTCGCAAATTATTGTATACTTACTTTCTGATGAAATCTTGATGGTACTTATTAATGGAGTTGAGGTAGTTACTTAAAAAACCTGAGAAGTCGAATGCTGGAGCGGGGTTGTTCTGAGGTATACCTCCTGAAAAAGACCCTGAGTATCCGTAACCATAGGCATTTCCTGAACCGTCATTGGCCAGGTCATTCCCACTAGAACCATCTGTAAATATACGCATACATATTATGCACAACATTCATTTTATCAACAAAATGTATAAATTTCCAATCCAACTATATCAATATTGGATATTGGATTAACAATGTGGATGAAACTATAATACTGATTTCACTAAAACAAATATTTTTGAATCAAAGCGCTCAAAATCTATCAATATATTTTTACTAGGTATACTTTCATATCCACGGTTAGGGTTGAACAATAACTGTTCACTATTGATGTAGGTACTGGGTATTACTTTCAGCAACCCTTGTCTCTTCGATTGGGGATGGAAGTAGGGGATTTCAGAGAAGAATCCGAACAGCAATAAGCCCTAACCAGTCTAATGGTATCGGAAATTGGATATGATTATTATTGCCGGATTTTCCTCAGTGGCTTAGCCAAGGGAAATGAAAGTGTTGTCATTGTAGGGAAAAAAGGGGCTAACTCCCCTACATATTATGTGAATATGAAAACTGATAAAATCAATGCATTTCTAGAGTTTCATTTCGGTTACGAAAATATGTACCAGATTTCGATTATTTATAAAGAAGTTATAGCGAACAGAAGGAAACGGCCATATTTGCTATCTGCTCTATGAATCTCTCTCAACTACCTCACGAAATTCTTTTTTTTTTCATCTCATGGAAAGAAAATTCCTATAATGTTCGTGGAACATCGCGCGTACCTAGGAAGGATAAGATGAGAAAGTGGGTGTTGTATTTTTCCAACTTTTGGATGTTACTTTCTTAGCTTAGCCGTTCTATTGATGAACGAGTTTTGGTAGAGTGTTGCTCGACATTTTTCAAGGTTAACGACGAAAGGATGTGCTCACTGGGCCTGTCGAGTTCGCCTGACTGGTATTGCACCATGCGAAGGTGCAAAAAGGCTTTTCACGATTGGGACAGAGCACGAAAGAAAATTAAATGAAAAATTTCGAAAAAACAATGTTTTTCTCATCTACCGGCAACATTGCAGAAGTCATTCATACTTTCAATGTTTTTGGGACGCAAACGCTTGGATTCAGCAATATTTTCCAAAATAATGTGTTTTCGACAAGAATAATGCATCAGTGCTGAATACATTCATTTATATAGCTAAATTATCCATTTTTGAGAAATCTCCTGAAACGTTAAGAATTGGAAATGAAAATCAACCTGTTTCAGGAGATTGCTCAGAAATGGATACTTTGGCTAAAAATGCTCAAAATAAATTTATCCAGTACTTCACGAAAACACTGTATATTCTTCCATCATTTCAATTTGTTTCTTGTTTCCTATTTGCCGATTCATTTATCGCCCCAATTCCTCAAAGACCCTGTACATTCATTCAGTTGAATACTCAAATCAAAATTTACAGAATTTATCAATAATAATTCCGAATGCTAACCGCATTATTTTCAGACAAAACAGAATACTTCAATGAAGATTGGAGTGAAGATCATATTAGAGATGCGTTATATATCGTTCAGACAACTTTTTTGATTTGTTGTCCGTAAAATGTTTCATATAAGTACAATTTCCACTTTATCCTGAAAATGAGTGCGGAAGTTGAAATGAATAAATTTCTGGAATTCGTTTTTATTTGAAGAGTTTCGTGAAAGGTATTCAGTTTTAATTTCACATGTATTCCACTCAAGTATAGTTGAACATCATGAGACTTTCATTATTCCGTGAAAAATGTACGAAATACGCTACTGATTCCCTGGTGGTTTGGCATTACGGTGAAACTAATACTATTGTAATACGTATGGAATCATCAATCAACTTGGATTGAGTTATAATTTTTCATTTCGGTGACAATACCGAGTGATCGAATAATAATTGTTACACTCGCTGAACTTCCTATCCTATAAGTGCCACATTAATATTGGCTCAATATTGACATGCTCATAGGCCGTGAAAATCTAATGCCGAACCAGTATAGCGAGAACAATATACATCATCATTGTGTATTGATTGATGCATGGTTGGCAGCAAATCATTTTCCAGCTTATATTAGGTGTATACAAGACTCTGGCTGTCCATAATATGATGTATTCGGTAAATGTTCTCAAATTTTAACTGCCATCGTTAAGTACAAGAAACTTGAAATTTGTCAAAATCTGAGTGTCACATATTTAAGAGAAATAGTTTGTTCTATATTACTTTGCAATTTTCAAACTAATAGATAATATATTTAACGTAACTCAACGGCTGTAATTATTGTTTGAATGAACGAAGAATATTTTTTTCTGTGACGGGAAAAAAGTTCGAAATTCCATTTCTGTGGACAGGTTATAAAATGTCACTTTTCATAAATTACTAAAGAATGTTTTTTTCTGTGACGGGAAAAAAGTTCGAAATTCCATTTCTGTGGACAGAGTATTATACACGGGAAAAATATTAGATTTTTGCTTGCGGTTTTTTGTCTCCCTCCGCTAATACTCTTTTCCTTTATAATAAATAACTATTTGATCCTATAAAATAATATTTTCTGTGATGAACACATTGTGCTGATTGAAATGATCAAGTTATGAATTGATGAAACAAAAATGATAAGTAATTGATGAAGGGAATATATGTTACGATAACAATGAACTCTTTATATAGGTTGGAGACTTCAACTGGAATGAATTCGCTATACTGTATCTCAAAGATTGCCCATCCCTAATGAATCACCCTATAGCTGTATATACTTCGTTAATTTTATTTTGCAAATATTTATTTAATTTAACAAAAAACATAGACCAACAATATTTTCTTGGTGCAACGATTTTTTTTGAGCTATATTGAATTCATTTGAATAATTGAATACGAATAACTGACATTATGATATGCAAATATGCTAAATTCTGCTTGTAAAATTCTTCCGAGGATGACATTTGAAAGATCCTCTCAATAATTGTATACAATATATATGGGAAATTCAATACATGCTTGAATAAACAAGATGATTAGATGATTCGAACTGACCAAATCAATTAGAATTAGGTTAGTTGGAGCGACGTTAGATTCATATGCACGTTTTTAGAGAAGAAAAGATTTTCGAACATTTCAAAATTATAATCATGTGCCTACATATTTTATGTGTTTGTCTATAAATCATGAACCGGTTCATTTTATTATTCGTAGGTTGAAAAATAAGAGTGCTTCTTATAGCTTTCACAAATTAATTTAATACATGCACATAAATTTTTGGCTGTTCCCGTTATCCACACGAAAGCTGGCATTACGCTTTTAAAAATTCAGGACTGAAGCTGGATAATGCACAGTTTCTTAAATTTATATTCATCAAACTAGCGAATGAATCGCATCTCTAGACTATGTTTCATCCACTTGTTTAATTCAATATTGTTTTACATCCTTGATAGTATCTGATTTCATAATTGCCATGCTTATTTATTAATAGGTGGTTGGTGGTAATTTATTTGAGAATTATTCATATAATAGTCTGACGCAACTAAAAATGGCCACCGAGAATAATTTATTCAAAGGAAGTTTGATTTATATTTCGTGAAATGATAGCGATAGGGGATGTTAGAATTAACATTATTTCAATATGTTTTTGTAAACATCGATGCATTTCAATAAATAAAATGTATGTTTTACACTTATATACTTATATCAAAAGTGAAAGGGGCATTCGGAGTTCCATTGCCAAAATACAGAAATTGAAAAATAATATAGAAACAGAAAAAATAATCTCATGGAAATCAATAGAATGATCATGAAATAATTTAATGAGGTTTTCCTTCGAAACAAAATCGTCATTCTTGGTGACACACTGTATAGCTGTACAGACAAATAATGAGGTAATAGAAACAATGGAGTTGAAAAAAAGTCCTGAATGATTTACGAATTGGTAAAAGGACTTAATCATTAATCAATCTCGTAAGAACATGAAAATGCTAATGTCATCGAATAAATTAAAGGTTAATTAGCATTCACATTCACGTATAGATCGTTAATAAAGGTACTCACAACTTACCGATCGCCGGAAACAATTCGTTTAATATTTGAATTGCCCAAATTAACTATCACTTGACTCATAATTTCGACATTCAATTTAATTTATAGCCAGAAGACTATAGTAAAAAATCTAATAACTTACCTGAATAGCCTCCCAAAGAACCGCCCACTAAGCTGAACAGAAAGACAATAGACAATCGCAGCATCTTTCTTGATGATCGATGAATTTCTCAAGAGCACCACACTTTTGACCCACCTTATACCTGACAGGTAAATCTCAAAAACACGAGTACCAACGACTCTCACCGATGGACCCGCTCTCGTCTTCAAAAAGAAAATTATCACAAAATGTATGCGTCCGCCGCTCTCTTTACATCACTTGCAAAAAAATTGCAATGAGGTTATCTTTATGTCAAGTTCACCTACTCTCAGCTAAGGTCGAACAAAATAAATAAATAAACAAATCCAGCGCATGGTCAGACCTGTTTTCAACAATGTTATTCGGAAGGGATTGTTCCAGTGATTCGAATAATACGCATTTTATGTAATCGGCTAAACGGTATTATCTTAATTACCATCATTTCTAGAATTATGTTCAACGATCATGCCTAAGCCATTATACCTTTTATTGGTACACAGTGGTGCAAATAAAATAGTGCCGTTTCCAAGAACATTTTTCTCTCCTAGCTGAAAAAGGAATGCAGATTTCGTGGTCCCTCACACTTGAGCCAGTATGGTTTCTCGTAACCCCTCAATTATTCTCCTAAGAACAGATTCCTGAGACGATAGGCTTTTTATGTGTGCTTGCCTGAGGTCACTGGGCCAATATGAAATGTAAAAAACGTATTTCAATATTTCGAGTTTATCGAGAATTTTCAAAACCAAAACCAGCTTTCTCTTAGCAGGAATATATGATAATGATTTACCCATTCGAAGCCTCGAATCAGATTCGTTATCGCGTACACAATAATATTATTTGGTATAGTGCAATTATTTTCTTCGACTGTTGTGATGTGGTCGTATAACGCATACAATTATGATGAAAAAGTCATAGCCCTTCGTCCCCCAACCATGAAGGTTTCGATAATGTTCTCCTTACTTTAATTCTGCATTTGCATATCTCAACTTGAAATTAACAAAAAAGAGTTTTTTTTATGTTCTGGTTCCCACGAAAAGGGATATCCTGTAATGTTCAGAGAACATCGTGAGAACCAAGGTAGGAATTGGTGTTCTTCTTGAATTTCTGGAGGTTATATGCCTCGGGGAACACCTCCCTTGGCAATGTGTTCCACAGCCTCGCAGTTCGTTGGATGAACGAGTCTTTGGTAAGAGATGTTCTGCAGGTCTCCAAAGTGACCACGAAGGGGTGCGAAGCCTCAACTCGACAGGATAATCTCGCGGGGACTGCCAAGGAAGGTACAATTGTTGATATTTCAGAAGAGCATCGTCCATGAAGATATCTTTAAAATAGAGCCAGATCGCCAACTTTTCTACGGTGTTCCAGAGAAGTGAGTGAGTTTGTGAGCGAGGCATCACCCACGAGACGAATTGCCCTTTTTTGGATAGAATTCAACAGTTTCAGGGTATGTTTGGGTGCTGCACTCCAAATATGGGAACAGTATTCCAAGACAGGTCGAATCTGTGCCTTATAGATCATAAGCTGCTGACTGGAAGTGAAATAGCTCCTGGCCCGAAACAGAAAACCAAGTTTTTGGGATGCACTTTTCGCAATTGATCTCACGTGATTTTCCCAAGAAAGGTTATTATTCCAAGATATAGACATCTATCAGGGATAACGATATAGGTATTAACTCTTTATCTACATGTTCATGATTTTGAATGACAAGGATGTCTTAGAAGGTTATGAAACATCGGAGAGACGATTCCGGATAATTTTTGTATTTCAAGGTTCATTTTTTCAATTCACGTTAGATTTGAAGCAAGCTGGCTATAGTCGTGATCAAGTAACAACGAAAAGTTTAGGTGACATTTGTGGAAATGTGGAGGTACCTAACAAAGAAAATACTACTTTCCCTTCCATCTTATTTAGCACAGGGAACAATCTCGAGCAAATCATTCAATAAAATCATTGACCAATTCAACGGTATCATTTTCTTAATTCTTTGATAGGCCAGATTGAAATAGTTATTTAGGTCCCTCTCGCTGTATATATACCTACCCATCTATTCAGCATTAACTCGTACAATCATTAAAATACAATACTAATTCAAAGTTGGATATTATTACTCTGTTGGTGATCACGATCTCATACAGAGATAAATTGGCCAACTCTTTCAACTCACAATCAACCAAGGTGAAATGATATCACCGTTCTATTAAGCATTATTCAGGAACACGCATAATCGAACATTCCATCAAGATCGATTTTTGAGAGATATTGACTCTCCTATATAAATGGAAAAGTTGTCTGGGCACTGGGCATATTTGTTTAGATTTCTTCAGTGTGATATTTCACCATCAATCATTTAGGAAATCATCGGCCCTGGACTTGTCAATTCGTCATGATGAATAAATGATCCAAATCAATTTGCATGTCAACTTCGAAGTCCACCAATAAAGGACACGCTGATCGAGCAATTCGTGGTTGTCCTGTTAACGGTGCGGTTTAGCTAGCAAATCATGGACGAAACAGATAACATAGTCAGTGCTACTAGACTCTTATGGATTCTGGGGCAATTGGTCGGGCTAGGTTACAGTTCTGCAGATGCAAAAATCAACAAGAAACCACCGAACACCATGATGCTCGTACGCAAGGTGATATGCAGTCTCATCACTTTGATTGTGGTTGTGTGTCTAGTATCATACATGTTCTCTATCCCCAAAATGACAGGTGAACACTTGGTAGTAGAAGCAGTTGATATAATGTTCAAGCTATCCGTAACAGTATCTACGCTGGCCACTACCATTGAACAATTTCGTCGTCAACATGATTTAACAACGGTCATCAGAGATATCAATGAGGTCGATATTAAACTCAAACGTTTTCCTCGATGGAGAAGTTACAGGACAATCAGGAATATTTCCACGATCCTGGCACTGCTAACATATTCGTGCGCGGCAGCCTTCGCCATGAGTGTTATGCAAACCTGCAATACTTTCGTAGTAGAGAATCATTCTCGATGTTCGATGTATCTGGTGTTGATAACTATCTTCCCAAATATATTGACTGTCAACTATTTGATGTTCACAGTACATATGGCTGTGATTTGGCAAAAGATGTGTACCATCAACGACAACATAAAACATATTTCCAGAGAGGAAATATCGGTATCCCACAGTTTATTTAAAGAAATTGAAAGAATCAAATCAATCACGATTCTGCAGGAAATATATCTGGACATATTGGATATTTCCAGACGTCTCAATAAGATATATGATGTTTTTCTGATATTCTTGATAATGGCACAATCTATCTCAATTTTTTCTTCCTTATATTCCTTCTTTTTCGGTTTCATATTGCTGGAAACTTTCATCAAGCCCAAAACATTGAGAGACGCACAACAGGTTCTTGTTCTCAGTCTAATCTCCGTCATAGAACTACTTGTCATTTGTGTGATTTGTCAGTTCACTGTATTCCAATCTAGATACGCTAGGAAACTGATGTATGAAGTTCCAATTTCTCGATTCAACAAGACACTTATCAAAAAGGTGAGTACTAGAATAAGTACAATTTTCGTTTCAATTCGCGTCACACCAACATGACGTGGAATAAGTTTAGTAAATAAAATTCGCACGTGTAAATTTTTTCATAGTTCATCATTATTGTAAAATTCACAAATATTTGAATCCAGTTCAATCAGTAGTGTCTATATTTCATTCAAATCGAAATGATAGATGATACAGATGTTAACACCTTACTTATCTAATGTCATTCTCGTTCAGAAGTATGACTGGAAAATTGTCAATATAACCATGGATGCCACTCTCTGCATTCTGCTTCTTCGTAACAGGATTAGGTACTTCACCTTCAGTATTTTGTGGTATTACGCTCCCCTCTTCTCCATTTCCATTCATACCAGTTCTAGTATCCTCGTTTTGTCCACCCATTCCATATTGTTGGTCAATGTTATATCCATCGCTACCATGATTATAACCATATTGATAAACGTTTTGTCCATCAACAGTCGGACTGCCTGGATATCTGTTATCCATTCCACCAAATGGAAATTTCGGTGGCTGATATCCTTGTCCCTCCACAGGTGGTGGATAAGGATACATATTGGAAGGCCCCTGTCCATAGTAGTAATGGTTTTGGTAGCGGTGATGATATGGTTTCGAGTAAGGATCCGGCGTTGGGTACTGCTGCCCATAGTAAGAATACTCATTGTACTGAGTGTTCGGGAAAGGTTTCTCTTGCGAAAAGATTTCTATGGTGATGGGTTTCGGATTTTTGATGGCACCAAGAACCGTCCTCAACCCACCAGTCAGGACCGATGTAAGTGACGACAAATCCACATTTTGCCCATCATGCGTCAATCCCAGGATACCAGCATGCACAAAGGAAATAACTGAAAATCAATCCTTCATTTCATTGAAAACAGTCAGCAAACAATGAGTGTTGGACGTAAACGATGGAATCAACATATTATAGCATCAATGCAACCTCAATTTAATGGAATAATGAAATGAGTAGGGGAGTCGCTAGTGAGATGAACATGCAATGATGTCGTTTCGATTGATTCATCCAATAATGCCATCATGGGTGAAGTGAGCAAGACAGTTTGGAAGCTACTTCTTCTTACTTTCATATGAATTGGATTGTGACCTATTATGATAATAGATTAGAGTGATATCATCAGAATTTGGTGCTCATTGAGGTGGCAGGTGTACCAAAATCATTCAGTTAGATTGTATAAACCTCGGTATGAACGTATAATCGACAGTTAGGTCGGATTCAGTAGCTGCTGATTGAACCTACAACTCATCTGATTAGTACTCACGTCAGATATAAAAATATGTAGAGTTGTACATTGATATGAATATCAAAGTTGTACATTGATATGAATATCAAAGTTGTACATTGATATGGATATCAAAGTTGTACATTGATATGAATATCAAATCCGACAGTTCACGAGGTTCACAGTTTTATTCATTTATTTATTTATTTATTTATTAATAATACATCCAAACAAATTGAAAATCCACTTACTGGAGCATATAACAATGAGTTTTGTGATAATATTGGTGTGCAAATGTTCATTACTTAATAATTAATTCGAAGTTTGTAGAATCAGAATTTTTCTAAATTGTGCTAGCAAAACGGAAAAAATGTCTACGTTTTCTAACTTATTTAACTGTCTACATATATTAAACAAAGGACTATGAAAATGATGGAAGGAATTTGGTACATCTATATGAAAAGTTATGTTCGATCTCGAAGTAATTCGCGGTACATAAAAATTAATTAATGATAGTAATTCTGATGAGTCGATGAGATTGTGGACGATTTTGTAAAGGATTGTAAGGTCGGAGATCTCTCTACGCTTCCTCAAAGTTGTCAGCTTGAATTC